AAATCTGTCTGTGCCAAATGCTCCCCAGGTTTTGGGAGTTCCGTATTACACCGGTGCTGAACTTAAAACTCTGAAATTTGCAGAACAAAGTTTGGGTCCAGTGGCACCTTTGTGGGTCTCTTAACAGTCCCACTGGACTCAAACTTTGCTCTGCAAATTTGCACTTCCTCTGGAACTGTATTTAAACACACGAAGCTGTCTTATACTCAGGCCCTGGGTGTCTCAAGGTTATTTTTGTCTACTCTGACTGGGAGTGGCTGTCCAGGGCCTCAGGTGGAGGTCTTTAACAATACATACTACCCTTTCTGCTGCCAGCCAGTTGGGGAAACCCCGCCCACAAATGCCCCTTAACACGATGTAATGACATCGCTGACATCAGGGGGTGATGCTCAAGTATTTGGGCAAAACTCTGTGGTAAAACTGGGCTCAAACCAGGGCTATTTTTGGGCAGGAACGCACAGGAACGGAGTTCCGGCTGGCTTCCAAGTTGGCCACGCCCAGCAGGAACGCATTAGCATAATAGGCCACACCCAACAGCAGAAACTCATTAGGATTGGCTACATTAGGGGTGTGTGGCCTAACATGCAAAGGAGTTCCTGCTACAAAAAAGCCCTGGGTTTTGACCACAAACAAGGTAAACAGAATAAGAAGCAAAAGGTGGGTGTGGCTGGATGAACACACTTCTGGTAACATGGTGGTGTGGCCTATTATGCTAATGAGTTCCTGCTTGGGATTTTTCTACAAAAAAAGCCCTGGCTCAAACCATAGAGTTTTGCCCAAAAACTAGAGCATCATCCCCCAACGTTGGTGATGTGATGACATCACTTCCAGGGGATGTCATCGCGGTGTGCTTTACGTGCACCAGAAGATTCCAGAATGGACCCTGGAGGCCCCCACCGGCAACCCGGTAGGACCTGGCCACCCAATTCCTCATCATATTGGAAATGCCGAGGACTGAACCTTGTCCCTCCATTTCAGAAGGCGTGCACAAAAAAGTAAAAACAAGGAACAGAAATCCTTTCAAAACCAGCCCTTCCCATGCTTAAATTATGACAACATATGTTTAAAACACCAGAGATGGTCTTTGATAGGATTTTTTATTTATCTCGCAGAGGTATATTACTGTTCAGTTTTGCCTGTCAAGAAAGGCATCCATTTTACCCTTAGTTTTAAAAATATGCTCATGACTCTTGGAGGACAAGCCCTTTTACCTGCTCCCTAAACTTTCCTTTGTTGCTGAAGTATTCCTGGAGCAGAAGACAGTCATAATGGAATCATGGGATGATGAAGGAGTGGAACTGAGGGCATTCCCGGTGGAGGATGGTCGGGCCACACGTGTGAGGCTTTAGTTGCAGCCATAGCAAGAAAAGTTAGTTGCAGCAATAGCAAGAAAAGTAAATTACGTGGATTCCTTCTCAGTGAGTGAGTGAGTGATTTGTCCCTGGGAGAAGACTTCAGCGGTCAGCTTTTTGAATTGGTGGAACTTGGTACTTACGAAGCTGCTGTACGCTGAGCGTGGACCACTGGTTTGTTTTACCCAGTACGGTCTATTCCAGCGGAGAGTCTCTAGGGTCGTTCCTAGCCCAGCCAACAAAGGAGATTCCAGGGAGTGAACCCATGGCATTGAGCAAAGTGTGAAGCCTTCCACCGATCTACGGAGCCTTACTCCAACTTCAGTGGCTCTTCTGTTGGAGGAAAGAGGCCACTTGAGCTGGAGAAAGGCTCCTTAAGAACAAGGAGACGAGGGGGTTGGATTTATACCCCGCCCTTCGCTCAGAGTGGCTTGCAATCCCCTTTCCCTCTCTTTCACCCAGAACAGACGCCCTGTGAGGTCGGTGGGGCTGAGAGAGCTCTGAGAGAACTGCTCTGGAGAGAACAGCTCCGAGAGAACTTGTCACTTGACCCAAGGTCACCCAGCTGGCTGCGTGTGGAGGAGCGGGGAATCAAACCCAGTTCTCCAGATCAGAGTCCGCCACTCTTAACCGCTATGCCAAACTGAAGGAAGGTTCCTCAGAGCATGGCTAGAGCCACCCAAGTTGGAGGAAGGCTCCTTGGAGGATGTCCTCCTGTATGCAAAGTACATAACATAAGAAGAGCCCTGCTGGATCAGACCAATAGTCCATCTAGTCCAGCATGCTGTCCCACACAGTGACCAACCAGTCCCTCTGGATGGCCAACAACAGGGCATAGAGGCCTTAATCTTACTCTGAGGTTCAGTGCCCCTCAGGGTTCTTTTTGTAGAAAAAGCCCAGCAGGAACTCATTAGCATAATAGGCCACACCCAACATCAGGGACTCATTAGCATATTGGGCCACACCCCTGACAGCACCGCTTATTGGCACATTAGGCCACACCCCCATGTTACCAGAAGTGTGGTCATCCAGCCACACCTACCTTTCCCTTCTTATTCTGTTTACCTTGTTTGTTGTCAAAACCCAGGGCCTTTTTTGTAGCAGGGACTCCTTTGCATGTTAGGCCACACACCCCTAATGTAGCCAATCCTAATGAGTTCCTGCTGTTGGGTGTGGCCTATTATGCTAATGAGTTCCTGCTGGGCGTGGCCAACTTGGGAGCCAGCCGGAACTCCGTTCCTGTGCGTTCCTGCCCAAAAATAGCCTTGGTGCCCCTGAACGTGGAGGTTCCCTCAGTCACCATAGCTAGTCGCCACTGACAGACGTATCCTCCACGAATCTGTTGAATCCCCTTTTAAAGCTGTTCATGCCTGTGGCCATCACTGCATCCTCTAGCAGCGGTTTCCACATTCTAATCCCTCTCTGTGTCAAGCAGTGCTTTCTTTTGCCTGTCCCAAACCTACTGCCCATTAGCTTCATTGGATGCCCTCGAGTGCTCATACTTGGGGAGGGGGGAGGGAAATGCTCTGTTGGTCAACTCTCTCCATCCCATCCATAATTTTATAAACCTCTCTCGTGTCCCCCACCCCTTAGTCATCTGTTTTATAAACTGGAAAGTCCCAGCCTCTGCAGCCTCTCTGTGTTGCATAGCTTCATCGTTTTAAGAGTCAATCAAGGATGTGCTTTGTCGTTCCGTGACGGTGCCTCAGCTAGTACAGACAGCATCCGTACTTTGGCAGTTGGCTTGCCTTGTACTTCTGGGAGCCGAGTCAAAGGCTACGGCGTCTAGGCACTCGAGCCTCGCTGCCCAAATGCGGCCACTTGCCACTTTATTGCTGCAAGTCGGGGTTAATGTTTAACTGTCGCATGTTCAGTGGAGCATTCCGATGGTGGCATTTCAGAAATCCAGGGTTCATAACAGGAATGAATGCCTGTTTCCCTCTTTTCTGATCGCTGCTGGGCATTTCCAAGGACTAATTGCTTGGGCGGCCGTGGCTCCTATCCAACCATCAATACAAAGAAGGTCATAAAGAGTTTTCCCCCGCATTCCTCTTCTTTCCAGCAGTCTCTTCTGACCCATAGGAAGATACTACCAGGGGATGGGGGTAACTGTGTGGAGGATTAGCTGTGTGGATCAGTGGGCTGGAGTGAGGAGAAACAAAAGGATGAAAATGTAGTCCCCCCAGCAGAGCAATGAATGAATGAATGAATGAATGAATGAATGAATGAATGAATGAATGTACGGCATTGTGTGTAGAATAGCCAGGAGATCCTAAGATTGTTTGGCAGCCAGAAGTATTAGCTCTTTTAGTGTCATGCACCAGTAGGTGGCGAGCTAGACTTGTTTCTAAGGCAAGGGACATTTCAGAGGTGGTTTTGCCATTGCCTGCCTCTGCAACGCAGCCCCGGCGTTCCTCGGTGGTCTCCCATCCAAATACTAGCCAGGGCTGCCCCCCACTTAGCTTCCGGAATTTGACAAGGTTAGGCTAGCCTGGGCTGTCCAGGTCAGGGCAGCAGAGCCATGCTCACGGGAGAGGGGAAAGGAAAGACTTCACTCCAGCCTCCTGACGGGCACAGGGATTTCCCCCACGTGATCTTTCCGAGGCTCTAAATGAGCGGCAGGAATGGAGTTGGAAAACTCCCATGTTCTGCGTGCTGCTGGTTGGGGAAGGTCTCCGGGGGGGGGGGCGACTCTGCAGGGAAAAGGGGCGGCACCTGCAGGAGGGGCAACAGCTGAAGGAGAAGCGGCAAATTGGTATGGGCTGCTTTGGAAAGGAGCCCTCTGTGCCCCCCCCCCTCGCTAAGTCAAACTATACTTTGGAGCAAATTTCCTCCAGGGCAGTCTGGCCGGGGATCCTGGAGGGTTTGTTTATTTTTGTCACCTTCTGGGCATGGAGCAGGGGTCACTGGGTGTGTGCGCGCGTGTGTGTGGGTGAAGTGTTTGTGAATTTCCTGCATCGTGCACGGGGTTGGACTAGATGACCCTGGAGGGCCCCTTTCCCGCTTTGTGATTCTAAGAAATGCACAGATGCCTTCAGGGACAGCATCTGCGCGTTCCAGCTCCCCCTCTCTGAAATATCTAGAAGAACTTCCCACTTTTGAGTGTTTCCCTGCTCCACGTCACTGGCTGCACATGGGTGGAGCGGGGAAGCCTGCCTCAAGCTATTACAGCGGGAGGGGGTGGAACAGGGCACGTGCCTGCCGTTTTCAGCGGCAGCTGTATGCTTACTGGAATGTCTAGTTTGTCCTGCTGGGCCTCTGCAGTTCTTTCCTGTGTCTTCTCTCTCTCTCTCCCTCTCTCCCGAGTCTATATTTTGTGTCTGCACCACTGACAGTTCCTCACACGTCCCTATGAATTTCTGTCTGCTGATCTTTTCCATCTCAGTCTGTCTCCAGGGCTTCCGTGTCTCTCCCATGGTCCTCCCTGGGTTCATCCCCCGAACACCCAACTTGGACAGTTCCCCACATTCTCCTCTACGGGAACACTGTTCAGGCTAGATCTTTTACCACCGGGTGATGACACGAGGGCAGGGACCAGGGCCCACTCTGCCCCCCCGTCCCCCCCTCTTCCAGTTCCCACCTTCTGTACTTTTTTCCTCCTCCTTCTCTTTCTCTTTTTTCCCCTACTATCCTTTCCTCCCCCTCTAGTCTTTTGCCCTACCTGGGAGAAGCCCGTCACGCAACCGAGGCCGCTTCAACGGGCGCCGCAGTAGTGCCATTGGCATTGAGAACATCCAGGAGGAAAAGAGGTACGCACCTTGCGGGGGATGCGCAGGGCTTAGAATTGGGGAGGGTGGGGATTCAACCATAGGAACCCCTGCAGTTGTTTGTGCCAGAGGTGCTGTTAGAGCGAGAAACCGTGGGGTGCTTGAAATAAAGCCACATTTTTGTGTTGTGTAGTCATTTTAGTAGGCATTGGCGTAAGCCACTGTTGGGTCTCTCTGGGTACCTTTTTCAGGAGCCTCAGGGTTTTAATTTTTTTTTGTTTGCAGATATGGTACAGAATTCTGATCGTGGAGTCCCCCTCCCATGGGGGTATTTTGATAACAAATTGAACACGACTGAGCGCTCTGGGGGAGGCGTCAAGGGCAGTCTTAGGGCCAAACTAGAGGTTCTGGTGTCCTCGGGGCTGCCGTGAGGGTGCCCCCGCCATGTAAAATTCATTTTAAGATACTGTGAGAACCTGAACGTGATTGGGCCGACAGTGCAGCGCTCTCATGCCCCCCCCCCACGGCACCTTTTCAAGAGCCAGTTTGGTGTAGTGGTTAGGAGCGCAGACTCTAATCTGGGAGAACCAGGTTTGATCCCCCACTCCTCCGGTTGCAGCTGCGACCTTGGGTCACTCACAAGTTCTTTCAGAGCTGTTCTCTCAAGAGCTCTCTCAGCCCCACCTACCTCACGGGGTTTCTGTTGTGGGGAGGGGAAGGGGAAGGAGATTGTAAGCCGCTCTGAGACTCCTTCAGGTAGTGAAGGGCAGGATATAAATCCAGTCTCTTCTTCTTTTGTTGAAGTGCCAAAAGAGCCGTGCGTGCAGCCGTGCAGCAGAGGAACAAGAGTGACTCAGCCTGCAGGGGTCCAATCAGGGTTGGACCGCCGCAGCGTTTTGAAATGACTTTAACACGGCGGTGGCGTCTTTGTGGCAGCCACGGGGATGCTGCCACGTCTAGTTTGGCCATTACCCCTGCAGAATCAGTGGTTTAAAACCTTTTGCGTTGGCCCTTCCGTTTCCATTTTTCTGCCAAGATTCCTTCGACTTGCCGAGCTCTTTGTGTGTTAAAGGTGAAGAGAAACCAAGCAAGTGACTTGAGAGGGGACAGTGCTGTGTGATCTTGTCCCCAACTTGGGGGCCCCACAGAAAACGTTAGAGACAGAGGAAAGCAGACTTAGACGAAACTGAGTAAGAAGGCACCAGGCGCAGTCCACGAGAAGGTGGGAGTCTGAATGGAGATGAGGGGGGAGACTCCTTGGGACGACAGGCTGAGAGGGAAGGGCCAGCCAAGTAGCTGGTGCTGAGGATGGACAAGTCGCTTGTAAGAGAGGTTTCAGGGGGTGCAAGAGTGGACGTCATTCCCATGGGTGACTGTGTACGTGGTTTTTTTTTTTTTCCCCTGCTGTTGGTCAAACCAGTTTTGCTGAAGTGTAAACTGGCTTTTGAGCAAGGGAACCTTTATCTTTACCTTTTTAAACAGAGATAGTGGTGGGACAAGCACGCCTGGTGGGCAAAAAACACCCCTTGTGTACCACGGCTGGCAGGGCCGGCTCACCCACTAGGTGAACTAGGCATTCGCCTAGAGCGCCGGGCCCTGGATGGGGCGCCAAGCTGTGCTTCCCCCCTCCCCCCCTTTGGTGACGGTGGGGGCGGGGGGAGAGGCGGTGGTGGTGGCAGCAAAAGGGTGGCTGGCTCCAGAGGTCTCCAGGCCCCACCGGGAGGTTGGCATCTGAACCACAAGGCAGCCTCGCCTAGGGCACAGAAACACCTCGAGCCGGCCCTGACGGCTGGGAAGAAAACCTCTCTTGCGTGGAGTTCCATATAAGGAGCCCAAGTTTTTCACACTGCCCGGAGTCTTACTGATAGAAAAGAGGACCAAAGTAGATAACGGGGTATCTGCAGCCCTTAGAAATAACAGGGCAGCATGGAATTACGATCCTTTCCTTTCTTGCAGCTGGTCACAATAGAGACGATCAGTTTTTAGAATGTAGAGAATGTCGCCATTGGCATTCAGTTTTTCTTTCTCTCTCTCTTTTCTTTCTAGAACCACTTTGGATATGTTTTCTTGGCAAAGTTTCTGTACTAGTTTCTCAGGGGCAAAACCTGTAGGAGGAAGCGCATTAAGGGGATGTGTTGGGTTTCCTGGGTGCTTCCCCCCCCCTTTCTGGTGTACAGAACAATGGATCAGAGTACGGCGAGAGAAAGGAACTTACAGCCGCGGCTCTTGTCTGAAGAGTGCAGCTGTGATCCCAAGAGATCTCTGGGGGTGCCCCAGGGCAGAGGCACGCAGGGGCTTTCCGACCAGTAGATAGTGGGGCGGATCCTACCCCTTTCCTATCACTCCACTGCCCATTCATTTATTTCTGTATTTGTTAGTTAAATATTTATGTCCCACCCAATGTCCCACCCAGCTCCTGAAAACAACAGTTTGGAAAACTTTCTGCAACTTCCAGGGCAGTCCTAACTCTGAGCCGGTAGCAGCTTAGAGGCCAACGAGATTTTTGGGGTACTCGGGTTTTCGAGGGTCAAAGGTCCCCTCATCTCTCGAAAGGCTAGACTCTGAACATCTGGTTGGTCTCTAAGGCGCTTCTGGGCTCGGATCTGGCTTTTCTGCCGCAGACCAGCCCGGCTGCCTTCCTGAAACGGCCCTATGCAGGGTGACTCTTGTCCAAGCCCACTGATCCGAAATGGGGGGTAAAAGCCGTCGCCTCCTGTTGCCGCTTCGCTCCTGACTTCCCCCATCCCACCCCTTTGGCTGATCTTCAGTAACACAGGGAAGATCCCTGTTATCAAAGCAAATTTTTTTTTAAAAAAAATCTGCACAGCCAATAGGGTTGCCAGCTTCAGGTTGGGAACTACCTGGACATTTTGGGGGTGGAGCCTGAGGAGGCTGGGGTTTGGGGAGGGGAGGGGCTTCAGTGAGGTGTAATGCCATAGAGCCCACGTTCCGAAGAGGCTGTTTTCTCCAGGGGAACTGATCTCTGTTGCCTGTTGTAATCGTGGTAGATCTCCAGCCACCACCTGGAGGTTGGCAATCCCAACAGCTAATCAGGTTGTCAGTGACCAATCCAAAGCCTTGCTGGGCAAAAGCCCCGTCTGGCCCCACCCTTTTCCTAATAGCATTTGGCAGGAACCGGGACGCCTGCTCTACACTGCCACTACAGGCGACAAACCAGAGTTGCAGCTACTGTGTTGTCCAAGACTAGGAGATTCAGTTTTAGGGTGGTTCCCCCCTCCCCTTACAGCCACGAAGGCTAGTATTTTTATGGCTACATCTGACAGTCCCTTAAATTTCTCAAACCCACACCCTTTATGAATATGTATTTTGGGGAATGGGGGAAGGTGTGTGAGGAGGTGACATTCTTGAAGCCAACATTTCTGGCCACACCCTGGTTCTGAATACCCGAGGGCATATACTCCTCTCCAGCTTCATTGGGAAACGAAGATGAGTGAACGTCAAGAGAGGTCTTGGGAGCTTCTCGTCTGTACAGTATAGCTGTTAATGCAGTTGTGAGAAATGTAAGCCTGGAATGTACATTGGTGGATTGACAGATCTTTTTTTTAAAAAAACCCTCTGCCATTCCCTTCCTAACACGGCTTTCAAGCAACTTACAAAATCCATTAAAGCTGCAATTGCTTGGCCCTCCGAAAGCTGGACTGCCGATGCTGCTGCTTTGGTCTCCCCCCCAGTTCTCAAGGTCTCCCTACCACTTGCGGTTCCCATTTTGTGCTGCGGCAGCCACAGGGCAACAAGTCTCCCCTCCACAGACGTATGCCTCCACCTGCCCCACCCCTGGCAGCCAGATGTTGCCCGTCTCGGTGGGGCTGGGGCTTCTTTTATGCCAAGCTATCGTCAAGCCGCAGCCGACCTACAGTGTCCCTGTAGGGTTTTCAAGGCAAGAGACAAACAGAGGTGGGTTTGGCCATTGCCTGCCTCTGTGTAGCAATCCTGGGCTTCCTTGGTGGTCTCCCACCCAAATACTAACCAGGGCCGACCCTGCTTAGCTTTTGAGATCTGATGAGATCACGCTAGCCTGGGCCATCCGGGGCAGGGTCAGCTGTTCTAATAGGTGTGCTCATATCCAAACGATGGTGTTCCACAAGCTGAGAACCAGAACAGTGGCATCTACAGCATGGGTGTCGAACTCATTTGTTATGAGGGCCGGATCTGACATAAATGAGACCTTGTCGGGCCGGGCCATGTGTGTCATAAAAGGTAATGCCAGGTAGCGGAGATATAAACTTTATAAAGGACACAAACACAAAGGGGTTTTTTTACTTAAAATAAAAACATGCCTAAAACATTAGCTCTGTAAGCTGCAAACCTACTTTTGATTTACTGACATTCACCACAGAAATCTCATGCTCAGAGTTCTGAGTCCAGCACCCAGGTTAAAACATGAAATGGCTGGGTGATTAAGAGAGTCTGGGGAAGCAAGCTATGATGCAGCAGCAGCAGCAGAACTCGAAGAGGAGATGGCCAGTTCCACTGTGGGCCTGATGGAAGCCCTCCGGGGGCCTGATCCGGCCCCTGGGCTGCATGTTTGACACCCCTGATCTACAGTGTAGGGAGGCGGTCTAAGGAATTGTGCTGTTTGCCACAGATGTGTTCAGACAGCCCTAGGAATGCATCAAACTGAAGTGGAGAGGAAAGGACCTGTCTCCTAACTATGAGTGTAAAACGACTCTGTCTTGTCCCTCTACTGCCTGCTGGGAAATCCATCATAGCCCAACATGTTATGGTTTCTCTGGGTTTATTTTAAACCACACTTTTCCTTCCTCCCACCACTTCCCCACAAATGCAGGATTGTTTTATCAAGAAGGATGAGGTGGAAACTGCTTTTACTTCCATAGGGGTGAAAGGACAGTTTTCTGTATTTTTCTCCCCATCTTTGGTCAAAGCAGCTCAGGGATGGATTTTTCCAGTGAGACAATGGCAAAGGAGAAAAGTTTTTAAAAAGATTTTAAAGGCTTTAAAAACCATCCCTCTTTTTCCTTGATAAAGGATTTCCTTAAATAAAAGGATACAGAAAATCCTAGGTACTCCTCCTTGGAATCTTGGCAGCTCAATTTGCAAAAGCAAAAAAAAAAAAGGTGGTTTAAAATAAATAGGCCCTGCCATAGGTGGCCCAGGCTAGCCCGATCTCGTCAGATCTCAGAAGCTAAGCAGGGCTGGTCCTGGTCAGTATTTTGATGGGAGACCACCAATGGTCCAGTAGTGCAGGGGGGGGGGGGGGAATGGTACTTTCAGATTTGGGGTTTTTGGACCCTTAAAAATTTGGTTTTGCCTTGAAAACCCGAATTCCAATATGGGTATTGTATTGGGATTCGGGTAAAATTTGAGTTATATAGAGAGTATAATGGAGCCAAAAAATTCGGGATTCCCGAATTAATTTGGGATTCTCTTATTGGTAACCCGAATCAGATCAGAAAATCTGATTCGGCTTAACTAATGCCCGAATCGTGCTGGAAAGGCATGATTCGGGTATTAATTTGGCTCAGAAGTGCTGAATGCACATCCCTAATCACGATGCAGAAGCAAGCGGTGACCAATCACCTCTGAGAGTCTCTTGGCTTGAAAACCCCAAGGGGTTGTCTAAGTCTGCTGCAACTTTACGGCAATTTCCACCACTACCAAAATAAACGGGGAAGGAACGATTGTGTGTAGTTCAGTTCTTAGTCTCACCGAAAACTTCAGACTTTGTGCTCTGTGTCGAAAACCTTTTCTTCTCTTCTCTTCAGCAAAGATGTCGCTGAGAGGATACAGAAAGTACTGGAGAGTCCGGGGCCCTTTTGTGATCTCAAGTCTGATGGTTCCTCCAGTCCCAGTTCCCCAGAATTCCCAAACAGGAAGAGCAAGTGAGTGGAGAACACTTCTGCTGCGTCTGACACTATCAAGATTGGCCTTGTCCACAAATGAACATCTATGAAGCTGCCTCCTACTGATTCGGACAATTGGTCTGTTGTATTGTCTGCTTAGACGGGCAGCAGCTCCTCAGGGTCTCAGACAGAGGTCTTTCACATCACCTACTGCCCGGTTGTTTTAAACTGGAGATGCTGAGGATTGAACCTGGGACCTTCCCTGCATACCATTGAGCCACAGCCCTTCCAGAGTCTCAGGCCTTCCAGGGCTTCAGGGTCTTTCACACCACTTATTACCTGGTTCCCCTCCTCCCCCCTTTTTTTTTAAAACTGGAGATGCTGGGGATCGAACCTGGAACCTCCTACATACAGAATAGATGCTCTACTGCTGAGCCACAGCCTCAGAATAGGGGTGTGCAAAACTGGATATATATTTTTTTCAGTTTTGGGTATATTGAACCTGAAAAATATCGGCGTTTCCCAATATTCCCGGATCCCAATACTGGTATGGTATTCAGATTTGAGAAATATTTGGGATTCCTGAATTTTTTTCGGGTTCCGTGGACCTGAGAAGACAAAAAAATGAGAGAATCAGCTGCGGCAGCAGGAGCTCCGCGCCGCCTCAGCCAATCCTGGGCTGGCTTCTCTTTGCAGCTCAGTTGAAATTCTGCAGTATAGTGTGACTAGGGATGCTAGGTCGCCCTGGTCACTGGTGAGAGATGGGGTGTAGATTTGCCAGATCCGGTTTGGGAAACTCTCGAAGATTTGGGGGTGAAGCCTGGGGAGGATATGGGGTACAGTGCCATAGAGTCCACCCTCCAAATCCAGTACCTCCAGGGGATTTGATCTCTCTAGTCTGGAAATGAGCTGTAATTCTGGGGGATCCCCAGGTCACACCTGGATGGCTTCCCTAAGTATGACTTTGGCGCAAGGAGATGCCACAACGGAAGGTTCATGACAGGGGAACGGCAACAACCTTCGGGATTGCTATAGTTGATCTGGGGCTTCTGTTCCTTTGCCAGGGTCCTCCCCGGTCAGACGTCAGGGTATAGTGCAATGCATCCCATCTCCCGTTCCTCGTCCAACGTGAGCAGCTGCTGTAGCGGCGTGAGAGAGAATGAAACGTCGGAGGAGGAGGAGAACGAGGCGGTCAGTGCAGGGGCGGGGGGGGGGGGAAGTGCTCTCCCAAAGAGCCATTCGCTTGTATCTTTCTGTCCCAGCTGAGTGGATACAGCATCCTTGAAATCTGACTGTACTTGGGGCGGGGGTCTTTTCCATGTCTCTGATGCAGGAGCTGATGTGTTCCCTTGAAGGCCCCCATAAGCATGACTCGATGGTTCAGAGCCCATGGACGGAGGATTCCGCCTGTACACCCAGCAGCACCAGTTCACCAGGTACATAAGAACATAAGAGACGCCAATGTTGGATCAGGCCAAAGGCCCATCCAGTCCAACACTCTGTATCACACAGTGGCCAGAAATTCCAGATGCCATCAGGAGGTCCAGCACTGGGGCCAGGACACTAGAAGCCCTCCCACTGTTGACCCCCCCCCCCAAGCACCAAGAAGACAGAGCATCACTTGCCCCAGAGCCCCTATCTATACCTTGTGGATAATAGCCACTGATGGACCTCTGCTCCATATGCTTATCTAATTCCCTCTTGAAGCCGTCCAGGCTTGTAGCCGCCACCACCTCCTGTGGCAGTGAATTCCAAGTGTTAATCACTCTTTGGGTGAAGAAGTACTTCCTTTTATCCGTACAGAGGGTACAAGCGCCAGAAGTTATTGCACGGGCTGCTTGGATTACATACTGTTGTAGATTTATTTATTTTAACTAATTTATGTAATTAGCCTTATTTTACACTGCATTTTAATGTAATTTGATCGTAAGAACTAGCATGGTGTAGTGGTTAAAATATCGGACTAGTATCTGGGAGACCTGGGTTTGAATCCCCACACTGCCATGGCAGCTTATTGGGTGACCTTGGGCCAGGCACAAACTCCCAGCCTAGCCTACCTCACAGGGTTATTGTGAGGAGAAACCAGAGTAGAATGTAAGCTGCTTTGGGTCCTATTGAGGAGGAAGGTGGGGTATCAATGAAATAAATAAATAAGTCAATTAATTTGACTTCATTTTTACCTCACTATTTCCCAAGGTGGCTCCTTTCCTTCATTTTATCAGTTCCCAGTATCAGTTCAGTTTATTGCAATTAGCCATTGGTCATTGCAAGGTTACAAAACTCTCAGCAATAAAAAAATACAGATTATGAACAAGGTACAGGCTAATATCAGAATATACAAAAGTACCAAAAGTCAGTGACAAAATGTGACTAATTTCATACAGTAACCTATCCTCACAACAACCCTGTGAGGTAGGCAGAGCTGAGGGACTGGCTGGCTCAAGATCACCCAGCGAGCTTCCATGGCAGAGTCATGATTCAAACCCAGGTCTCCCAGACATTGTAACCGCCACACCACTCTGCCTCTCCACATTTTCCATGATGCTCAAAACTATTTCCAATGCAAGGCCAAACCAAACAGTTTAAAAATAACTGGAACATAGACACTAATTAAAAGCAACACTGAAAAATCCCTTGACAAAAGGCAAATAAAATGAAGTCAGGGAAGAACCCAACTGTCGTCTGAACTGTACAAGGAAAGAGACGGCCCTCTCCTCAATTGGCAGCCCGTGTCACAGAGGAAAATGTTCTTGCCCCCTTGCCCTTGCGGTCACGCATCTCACTTCCGAGAGCCAGAATGGTGTCGTGGTTAAGACTGGCAGACTCTAACCTGGAGAACCGGGTTTGATTCCAGCTGGGTGACCTTGGGCCAATCACAGTTCTCTCAGAGCTACCTCAGGCCCACCTACCTCACAGGGTATCTGTTGTGGGGAGAGGAAGGGAAAGGAGATTGTAAGCCGCTCTGAGACTCCTTCAGGTGGTGAAGGGTGGGGTATAAAAAACAACTCTTCTTGTATCATCAGTCTACAGAGCATCAGAATACAGAGCATCTTTTGCCCCAGACCGAGAGTTCCTATCTATACCTTGTGGATGATAGCCACTGATGGACCACTGATTTATTTCTTTTTATTTATGTACCTCATTTGTACCCCACCCTTTTCAACAATGGGGACCCAAAGTGGCTTACGCCATTCCTCTCCTCCATTTTATCCTCACAACAACCCTGTGAGGTGGGTTAGGGCTGAATGTCTGTGACTGGCCCAAGGGCACTCAGCGAGCTTCCATGGCACGAGTGGGGATTTGAAGATGGGTCTCCCTGATACTAGTCCGACACTCTGAACCACTACACCACACTGGCTCTTAACAAAGCAAAGTGGGTGTTTGTATGCTATAACTTTGTTTAACGCCCCCTCCCCAAATTACTGTTATATATTTAATATATAATGTTATATACCGTGTTTCCCCGAAAATAAGACACTGTCTTATATTTATTTTTTCTCAAGAAGACACACTAGAGCTTATACCACAAATGCATAGAAATCTTGCTAGGGCTTATTTTTGGGGTAGGTCTTATTTTCGGGACGTTCCTTAGGGAAACTGCATCCCTGCTCCTCGCGCCAAAGATGTAGATTCTAGAGAGCCGGGAATGGAGTCTCAGCTTTCTGAACTTTGATACAGTATCCTCAGAGTCTCCCCCCAAAATATGAGGCACAAGCAACTTACAAACACTGGGTACCGTGACACTGTAGCTGTCCTGTTTACGTTGGGAGCCTTGGAGCACATGACGCTAAGCAGGTGACAGTCAGTACCGGGAGAGGCCAAACTGAGGGAGAACGGTGGCCCTAATACACCAGAAATAACTTGATTTCTCTCTTCTGCCTGTTTCCACTTCGTTTCTTTCAGTCACTCGCCTGCTTCCTCCTGCCGGCACCGCTGGATCCGCGGAGAAGGGGAAAGGTGGCAAAGTGGATGCTCAGCGTTACAGTCCAGTAGGTGGTGATTTTTCTCTCCCCCCCCCCCCCCGGGATACTGAAAAAGCGGGGGGGGGGGGGTGACCTGTGGGGTTCTGCATATCCAGGAAGTCAAGGTGGGGGGGGCAAGGGGGAAGAGTTTTAAAAGAAACTGCCACTTCCTTATTTCACAGGCCTCCATTTTGTGCTGTGTGTGATGTCATCGCTGGAGGGGTGTCTCAGTGCATGCTGGGTAATGCACAGGTAATCCACACCCTAGCCGGCCTTGGTGCCCCAGGGATGGGGGCATGTGGGTAGGGTTGCCAACCTCCAGGTGGGGCCTGGAGACCCTCCCAGCATTACAACTGATCTCCAGATGTCACAGATCAGTTCCCCCAGAAGAAGCCACTTGTTCAGAGGGTGGACTCTATGATATTCTACTCTGCTGAGGTCCCGTCCCTACCCAAACTCACCCTCCACTCCCAAATCTCCAGGAATTTCCCAACCCTGGTTGGCAACCCTACATATGGGCAAAAGGTGACGGAAGGAAAGGGGGCTCTCCCATACCTCTAAATGGGAAACCCCGCAATCTACATTATACTTACATACTGATTCCCAAAACCCTTTGCATCTCCCCCATCATACAAACTGGAGCTACTTCCCCCAGACAGCCTCTCCGGCCCTAACTGAAATCCCTCTCTTCCGGAGATGCACCTCAACCTGCCAAGCAGGCTGTTAGCCACTCACGTCTCTCCCCCCCCCCCCAACCCCATCCCGGCCTTCTGCTCCACAGAGCCCTCTCTCCCTCTTCCGTCACCTGGTGCCGCCAGGGCTTTATTTTGCTGAATCATCTCTCTGCTCATTGGCTGTTTTGTGCGTGTGTGTGTGTCTTGTCTCTGCTGCTTTCTGCCTTTCTCATTAGTGAGGTGTGCAGAGTTCTCTAGGAGGGCAAGACGTCCCCCATAAACTGTAGATTTTGAACAGCGGGCGGCAGCTGTCTGGTCTCGGCGATGGCTTTAGAGCTCATTTGCCCTCTGTATACCACCTGATCTCACACGCTGGTTTTGGTCTGGCTTTGCCCAGAAACAGGCAA